GTATCGTCTTATAAAATCCAAACATAGTGAATATGCATCTTTTTCCATTGTTTATGTTTATAAGATGTTTAGCTGTTTCTCATTTGGTTGTTTATGGCTGTACACATTTATGCAGTGAGTATAACATTACTAATGATATTTTTATCATACTTTTATGTTTTTAACTTATTTAACTAGAAGATAGGACAAAGAAATCGAGGAAAAGAGCTTAGTCAATTGTAATTAAGTCCCTCAACGAAGGAACTCACATGATACATGAGATACATGATAAAATCATTTTTATAAGTGAAAATTTGGGGGTTGCATGATATGTGAGATCATGTGCTATATGTGAGATCATGAATATATATGGTATGTGTATGTATATATGTATGCGTGTGTATGGTGGACTCTCCCATCATATTTGATGTATGAGGGTCAAGCAGCTCAGTTCCTAGGAGCTGGCAGCCCAGGCACCAGCATATATGATTTGATTATAGTGGTGAAGGCTTTGTGCAGAACCAACCACACTTTTTGAAGGGCCGAATACAGAGACCTGGTGCACTATATGCCACAAAGTCCTCAGATGACTCTCCACAGGTTTTAAATTCAGAGTTGTCCTTCTCCTAGACTAGTTGCCATCCAAAGCTATAGAACCTAATCTGTCCTGCTATTTACACATAGCTGGAGAGAGAAGAAGATTAATACCTTTCCCAAGGGTATTAGCATATAAGTGAATGTAATGGATTTGACTGGAATTCGAACTTGGCCATCCAATTTCTCAACCCGAGCCACTATCCACTGTGCCTCCATGTGTGTATATAAGTCAGATGTGAACAATCTCTTTCTGTGCCAATGTACAGATACTAAACAAAGGTGTATTTTAAAGGAAATGGTAGAAACTAGGTGTTAAATATTTTTTTTCCATTTTCAACTTCTCTGCACTTTATAGTAGTACTTCATATATCATGAATCTACTAGAGTAATATTCATATATCATGAATCGACTAGAGTAATATTGAAAATATCTCTCTTCCTGGATTAAGATTTAGCTTTGAAGGTAATTACTTAGCGATAAAAACTAAATTGGCTGGACTATTTTTATTTATTTATTTATTTATTTTAACTGAAATTGACACCAGAAGATTAAGTAAAATAATTTAATAAAATTTTGTCATTTTGTTGAAAGTCTACTCTACTTCAGGCACAGGCATTTAGAAATTATTTAATACTGATTACATCTGGGCATCTCAATATTATGAACTTTTTTTGCATTGATACATATCAGCAAAATGCAGCAGCAAAATTACAGCATTTTGTTTGCATAAATTCTTTGTATAAGAAGAGTTTTCTTTTATTTAGCAAACACAAAAGGTTGAAAAAATATATACTCCCTCTCACATTTGAGAAGCCGATAAATCACCCTTCAAGCATTGCTAAAAATAAAATACATTGGTTGCCTTCCGATCTGTGGTTTTGTTTTTTTCATAGTTTCTCTGGGGGGCCTTGAAACATATCCCCTGAAGATAAGTAGGAAACTATTGCATTGTTTAAAAAATCCTATATTTTTCTTTATTTTAAATCATTTATCATGTAAATATTTTTTTTCTTAGTCAAGGTTGCAAAAGTCAATACTTTTTCTCCGTGTAAACTAGAAATTCCAATAAATAGATATAAGGTTCAATAAATATCTACTCTTTTAGTTTATACTTTAAAACATTTTTCTTGACTAATAAAAATCATTATTTAAATGATTTACTTTGATAACAATTCTATATCATTTCAGTGATTTACTTTGTTATGCAGCAATCAAGACTAAAAAAAAAAAAAAAAAAAAAAAAAACATTGGAATGACTTTTAAGAATAGGTTTATAATTAATGCCCCAGAAAATAAGTTTCTAAATTCCAAGGTGAAATACAAAAGAAAATATATGTAACTTGATAACAAAGTAAAAAAGATTTATTTGGAAAAGAATAATGCCAAGAAAGATTTCTTTTTAAAATTTAAATTGAAGTAGACATGGTTACAATATTGAGATACTATAAGGTGAAATGGAAGAAGAAAAAAATCATTTTATTTTACAAACGTTTTTCTTTCCTGACAACATTAACATTATATTCTAACTTTAAGAAAAGTTTGCATAATTTATGGAATAGTTTTAAAATTGGGTTTAGCACTTGTCCAATCCAATGTAATTTAGAAGAACTGTAATAATAATAGTTTCTCTTTTGTTTTTCTGAACACAATGTTTCTCTGGTTAACATTACTCAAGTGGTAATTCCCTATGGCAGCCTTATGACTAAATAAATATTTTGAATGTCAGAGAAGTGGTCATGAAAATGAAATAGCAGGAAACCAGAATTAGTAGGCAGATTTAGAGATTTTAGGATATAGCTAAAAGATATTAATGTTTTCTTGCTTTATTTGTTTTGATTTGAATTAAAAAAAAAAAAGGGATTGTTTTATCATTACAAGAAAAGTGAATTAAGAAAAGTGTACAGATTTTCCTTTATAATATAAACATCTCATTACAAGGACTATATTTTTTTAGTAAAATATATATCTGTGTGAGTATATATATATATATCTCACATAATTGCAGAAAGATTCCAAGAATTATCCCCTGGCATTGTGTTAAGCCTTCTCTTCAGGGTGACATATATATATATATATATATATATATATATATATATTAGGGTTATGACTTTTCTGTAAATCTATGTTCCTGTGTCATAAATCATTCAACTTTTTGTCTCAAAAGTAATGAAAAAACCATTAATTTGTTTTACTTCTTGAAAAAGGTCACCCACAAACTGAAAATTTGATTTTAACATGTAAACGCAATGACGGTAAAAAGTCAAAATATCCCAGAAGCTTTATTTTTCAATTTGCTAATGATGTAATTGGACAGTACTTATGTATTTTTTAAAGCATTTAACAGTTTATAGCTTAGCATAACATACAACCTTACAAATAAACAAAAATTACAAAAATGCAGAAGCTTTATTTTTCAATTTGCTAATGATGTAATTAGATAATGTATTTAACAGTTTATAGCTATAAAATAATATAAACTTATAAATAAATAAAAACGAGTTCTAAAAGTTCCTGGAAGTTCTAGAAGGCTCCAGAAAGTCATAGCACTACTATACTTAAATATCATTTTAGAAATTTTGTGTTGGGGTGAAATTTAAAAAAAAAAAAAAAAATTGAATTAAATCATTCTTCATTATTTTTTAACAAAAGTTCATCGAATTATGATACAGGAAATCAATTATCTTACAAAAAATCATAAACCTTATATATATATATATATATATATATATATATATATATAATGCATATGTATTACAAAACAAAATGTTACTTATTTCAGAATATAAAAAATAACCTTTAACAAATGTGCGCGCACACACACACACACACACACACATATATATATATATATTACTTCAGATGTTATTTTTAGTGGATATCTATATTTGAAAGAGATGCAGTGTTTGTATTTTTAAGTATATATTACATCACTCGGCATGTGCATCTAAGAGATCTTAGTAAAGAAAATATCCCCAGCAACAAGGTTAGAACTTGTGTTCACTTCTGTGGGAGAACCCAACATTTTATCTGACAAACAGCCCAGTAAGGTACTAGTAAGGTTACCTTTTATTTCAAATAAAGATATCCACTAAAACAATGTTTGAAGTAATAAAAATATTGGATTAAAAATAAATCCAATTATTTATATATATATATATATATATATATATATATATAGTTTTCATGCATGCTATATTTATGAGTAGTAGTGCTCAATATAAGACAGACTATGTAAATGTAAAATTGGACAGTCTGTTTCATGCCAATTTTAAATATATATGATAAAATAAATTTTCAAGGTATGCTATATTTATGGGTTAAAGTGCTCAATATCAGGGGCAGAGCATATGTAAATATAAATGTGGACATTGAAGTCACCACCCAGAGGCGACAGTCTGTTTCATGCTAAATGCAATTGTCAGGCTCAATGATTGTGTTTAGCATAAAACAGACTGTCATCTCCGGGTGTTGACTTCAATGTCCATATTATATATATGTATTATAGCATACCTATGGATGATAATGGGTTTCTAACCATTCACATAAATACAGTAGTAAATACTGCATGTTGGTTTAGAGTTGGAGATTCATTGTGGAATTCACTTGACTTACTTCTAGCAGTTGACTACTACTTTTATGCACTGCTGGTGAATCTTATGTGTTGTTCTTGCCCTTAGTATTATTGTTCATTACCCACAATTTGATTATTCTATTCAGTAACCTTCCTAGGTCACAACAAAAATATATATATATATATATATATATATATATAAAATATTTATTTAAAATTATAACATCACTACAAAAATAGGCATTTTCTTTCAACATTTCTGGTGTCCTGTCAAGTGATGGTGTTACAAGTAAAATAACTTGCAACACCATCACTTGACAAAACACCAGCAGTGTTGAAACAAAATGGTTATTTTTTAGTGATGTTATAACATACTTATGTTATAATTTTTAAATAAATATTATTGGTTCTACCCTGTATTGAGCACTTTTTAAAAATAGTGTTTTTGGTTACTGAAAGTTTATTCCATCTATACCAACCTTGTATTTGGGTATATATATATATATATATATATATATTTTAAGCAGATGCACATAAATATTTTGAATCATTGAATGTACAAAATATTTAAACAGAAAAATAGATGTAACAAATATTTTTACTGTTAAAAGGCAAATGGTTGAAGAAAATTTAGGAAGTTTTTTTTATATTAAAATACTTATATAAAAAAATTTACACTTGCTCTATATAAAATATAGGTAAGTTTAAAATTAGGGTAGATTATGTGGAAAGCTAACTTGAAATAATCAAGAGGCCACACCCAAAGAAAGAAAAGAGAAAGAAGATAAAAAAAGAAAGAAAGAAAGAAATGAGGGAAAAATTCTTGGGTTGGATTATGTAGGATATTCTCACCTGAGGGATGTGTATTTTTTTCAAAGTGTTGATTTAAGATTTCTAATGCTTGTGGTGTAAAAGATGTCCGTCGTTTTCTTTTCTTAGATGGCTCACTACCAATGAAATCAGTGAGGTTCTGTACCCCATTTTTATAACGTTCTTCGGCCTCAGCCATCCACCGTTCTAATACTGGTTTAATTTTCTGTGCACTTTTGGGGGTGATGTCCAGCTTTTCAAACCTAAAATAAAGAAATAAAAAAAGATTAATTATAATAGCTTTTTAATCATAAGGCAACAAAAATTGTTTTCATAAATTACAATCCTTAATTTATTAATTCAGCATCAATGTTCTTAGTCAAGGATACACAGTGTTTTTTTCTTTAAGTAATCTTGTAATTCTAAGAAATGGATGGTTCAATAAACAAATACATGTAAATCAATAAGTCAAAATATACCAGGTGTAACAGTAAAATTGTCCAATTGTTAGATTAAGCTTTGTACCATTGTATCTTAAAAATGATTAAAGATATGTTACTGGAATTTACTGAGGTTTTTATAACACTATTAGACTCTACTTTGAGAAATAAGAATGTATAATTACTCTCCAAGTTTAATAGAAGAATGGTGGTAAAATTGATCATAAATGAAAACAACATGTTCATCATTAATTAATCATAGCTAAGAATCAGAAGCTCATGAAGGATTGAAATAAAGTTCAAATATATATATATATATGTATTTTAAGTAATTCATAGAGTCTGAAAGAAACCTCAACAGATTGCAGAAAGCACTGGACGGCCGTTTTGTCCTATATTTGGGACTCATCAGCAGTGCACATCCACTACCGAGAATTGAAACCATGACAGTTAGGTTGTCAAGCAAACATCATACCAACTGTTCCACTGGGCCTCGGTGATGAAGAGATTGCAAATCAGACTCAATATAGTGCCACTGGCTCACATATTCCGTGGTGGAACTCTTACTGAGTTCTCTGTAACCATAGGACTGTGCCCCCTGGAGCCACGACTACTCTCACCAAGCCGCTCACTCTAGAGCATTAGAAGCCGGTTCAAGCAATGATGTACATGATAGAAATATATATATATATATATATAGTATTCCAGGATCATTTTTCAACTTATTCAAGATGATCCACACCCTCTCTAACCCTCTAACTTTCTGTCCTGGAGTAACAAGATGTCTCACAGGTTTCACGTATGATTTCATTTTCAAGTCTTTTTTTCACAGCTCTTTAGACTGTCAAAGCTGAAACTCCTCTCTAGTGTGCCAAACATCTTAAGGATTGAATTGAATCTTTTCTAATTTTTCTCTTAAGCTCTAACTTGAAATGATGATCCCTCTTCCTGTTTTCCTCTCTACTGTTCCCTATTTTTTAAAACTTATCCATCATTCTCTTGATGGTTCTTGAATGGAGTTTGAAGATGGAACCCAGAGTATGAATATTGGTACCATTACTGAAGGCCTGAATGATCTTTTTCCTCTCACCATGGCTCATTTGGGAAGACAGTGAGACTGACACAAAATAATTTTAACCTGCTCTTCTCTAGCTGAATAACTCAAGGGTTTTCATTAATTCTTACAAAAAATGGTGTCAAGATAGCTAAACATCTTATCTGAAAACTTGGAAAAAAGAAAATTAGTTTAGTGGCTTTTTAGATGTTAAGCATTTTGTGGGATGGACAATTATACAACAGTATAATTTGGACAACTTTGCTGTTACACTCAGTATATGTGTTAGTACAAATGTTTCGATGTTCAGAAACAAATAGAGGGAAAGCTTCTAATAATACTTTTTTTTTAGCAGCGGTGGTGGTGGTAGGGGTTAAGAATTTTTCAATATACAAAAAATGAGGTGTACTTAATAAAATATGGAATAGGTTGGAAAATCATTTAAAGTGTCAAAATGTGTCAAATTAATAAATGGGTTGGCTTTTATAAGCTTGCGTAGTGAATCAAAAAAAAAATTGTCAACTCTATTAGACATCAATGAGTAGTTTAGTTTTGTTGATCATTTGAAGATGATGATGACTCTAATGATTCCAGTGTTTCATATTTTACAATTTGGCATTACTTAGTTTCCTTTCGTTTGTTTTGTTTTAAAGCATATCAGCCTCAATGTGTTATTTAATGCTGGCAATATTTTTTTTCTCAAACATGTATTGCTGATAATATTTTTTTTTTTCAAAAATGTACTGCTGTTCATAATGTCTTGCAGGGAATAACTTTATCTTCAAAAATGTATTCCTGGTAATAATTTTTCCAAAAAGGTATTGCTGGTATTAAAACCTATTTTTATACTTTCATAATGTTTTGAGTTAACTATTTGCCTATAGCTGGGACCCTGACAGGTGCTACCACACTAGGTCAGGGTGGACCTGGGAACACCAGCAATTAAGGCCTTGCTGTTAGATGTAGTATATCAGAACTGTACCAAATAATGAAAACCACATCACTTGAGGATTTTTAACAGCAGCAATAGCACAGTATCTTGAAGAGAAAATAATGACATAATTAAGATGCTGACATTCCACACTACTTCAAACAAGTTAGGAAGGAAATGACCATCAATACTGCAAAGAGCAATAACAGCTACTGGCCTTGAGAAGCTTATTTTCCTGTTTTAAGAGAAAGATTTTATAAATTTCAACCGAAAGTAATATTGGCTGTTTGGTCAATGAATCCCAAATATTTCCTTATAAAGAAATGGCTAAATAATAACATTACCCTTGAGTTGCCATTACTTATGATCAAGTATTTACATGCTTAGTCAATTCTGAAATGAATTCTAACAATTTAGTTGTGGTAGCCCTGTGTACCAAATTCAAGTACCATCATTGTCAACATATTTCCTTTGATTTTTCCCTTCTGCATGGTGTTTACTTGGTATAGTATATGTATTTTTCAAAACATTTCCTGGCACTATTCCCCAGATGGGCATGCTGGACAATCTCATCACAGATGAAGAAAAGACTAGAAACAACAGAAATGTGGTTCTACAGAAGGATATGGAGGATACCATGGACAGAACATGTGAACAACAATGAAGTTTTGGAGAAAACAGAAACAAAAAGGACAATTATGCTTAATGTCAAGAAGATATAGTTGAAATTTCTAGGGCACATAATTAGGAAACAGGGTTCACAGAAGATATTGAAGACAGGAGGAACAGAGGAAAACAATGTATGTCCTACACAGCGAGTTTGAGTAAATGGATGGTGGAACAATGTTTAGGAATGATACAAAATTTATTAAGAGCTACAAAGAACAGGAAATTGTAGAGAGCCATGCTCACCAATGTCCTGAAGGGAGATGGTGTATAGAAGAGGAAGATGTTTATTAAACTTATATAAAAATTCCAGGCAGATCATTTATTTGAACCAGTACACTCATATTTTGAAAATTTCCCACCAGCATGACTATTCCAGAGAGCGCCTGTATTTGGTACAAAAAAAAGTAATGAAGGTTAGATGACAGATTTCTCCACCAATTATTATACCAGAAGTGCTCATTATTTGGAAATAAATAAATTTAAGACTGTATTCCAGAACAAATGAAAACAATGTATATCCAACCTAGGAACAGAGGAAAACAATGTATGTCCTACCTAGTGAGTTTGAATAAATAGATGGTGGAACAATGTTTAGGAATGATAAAAAAGATAAAATTTATTAAGAGCTACAAAGGACAGATACCAGAAGTGCTCATTATTTGTAAAGGAATAAATTTAACACTGTGTTCCAGTTCTGTTAGTATTTGTTGATTTGTTTTTTGTTGTTTTTTACAGCGTTTCTACTCTTTATAGGTTATTTGAAGCTGAAACCTATTTTGCATTGTAAGAATAACACATTTTTTACATGTGAATATTGCATTAACAATTTTTTTGAGAATAACAATGATTTTTCCATATACAAGTCTTACTATTTAACCCATAGATATGGGGAGTAGATGGATTCATACATTTCTCAAAGGTATTTGTGCATAAATGAATGTTATAAACCTGACTGGAATTTGAACTCAGCTCTCTGATTTTGCTGCTATCAGTTACACAACTCAAAGATTATTGTTGGTTGGAAGGTGGATTTATATGATCTTGACTCATTAACTGCAGATGATGGGAATTTAAGTCATTACATTTTTATGGCTCATATTTGAGATATGGGCACACCCACACATGTAATTCAATGTGAATGACAAAATTTTCTGTTTATTAAAGCTTCTGCTACATTTAGAAAACAGCAATTGAGCTGCTACTGATGTAATTAATGGACTGATGAAAAGTCTAAAAAAAATACTTTCTCATTAAATTCTCTTATGGCCATAATCTGATTAACTCTTTTGAAGATCAACTGAAAATTGTATACTGTCCTTTCTGTCAATTCTTTCTTACAAAGAAAAGGAAAATAAAGAGATCTCCCAAATCTGAACAAACTATTAAATCTATAAAATTTGTGCTTCAAATTTATAAAAAAAAAAACATCCATAAAATACCAGTGCAACTCGTTTGATTAAAAGTGCCAAGCTTTCTTAAAAGCAATCTCATATAATTCTTTTACCATTATTGAAAGTGCCAATTGAGGTTCCAAGTCAACCATAGCCAAAGGCAAGTGAAAGGCTCTTCTCTTCATATTCACCCACAAGTGTGGTTATCACATCTATTTCTAATTTTAACCACTTTTCTCCAATACAATGAAATAAGACTATTTAACCTATACAGATTTCAGCTATAGATTTAGTTCACTGGTTGAATTTCTTATGGCAGGTCATCGATATTTGATGCCCATAATAATAATAATCCTCAAAATATATTGTTTTAAGTTAAATGATTTTGTAGCAGATCAAGAAGAGCGAGGAAAGCTGAGATACTTATGCAGCCAGACTGCAGTTAGTAAACAGGGAAATGAAATGTTTGAAAATAGGTTAGATCAAATATTCTATTAGTGTGTATCAAAAGTATTTTCATATTTTTTTTTTAATACATTCATTTGCCAGAGGTCAGTTCTGAAATCTGACTTTAAACACCATAATATAATAAGCAACTTAGACAATAAAGAATTTTATTAGTTGATTGATAGCTTCAACTGAAGTTTTAACATTGTTTTTTCATTAAAAGTATCATTGCAAATAAACTTGTTCTTGGTGCCTGCAAATGAAATGTATCAGAAAATGCTAAGCATAAGTCATGTTCATTAGTTATTTACAATCTATTCTTAGGTAACTA